CTCCGTTGTTGTTGTGAGAGCAGATGCTGACAGCGCAGGAACACACGATACACACACGCGGCCCCCAACACGCACACGCACGCAGAGGCTGCGGTCCTTCGTGCGCCGCGAACCACAGGCACTTATTATATGTTCATAATTATATATTTATATATGATATATATATATTTATGTGTCACTGTCAGTGTGCAGCGGCAGCCATGGCGGCAGCTAACCCAACCAGGATGTGTGACTATATAACGTCATTGTTACGTCAATATACACAACGTCCCCTAAGGCCCTAACCCTAGCAAGGACCGTTTTCTTGGAGCTAGGCGGCAGCCAGCGTTTGTTGCAGTTGAGCATTTGGACGGCAATTTGCAGGAAATTGTCGGCAATAATAGTGAAGGCGTATAGAACTATAAGCATTTGTCAGTAAATAGATTTCGTATTTATTTAGCATTATATTTTATTGAAACGCTTCAAGTGCCTGCGCCGCGCGAACGGCATGTGGCGCGCCAGAAATATGTTCACATAGCGACGTGACGTCACGTTGTAAACAATCATGGCGGCTATAATCAGTGTAAGTTTGTAAAAATACTTGGTGTTGGGAGGTTTCCTAGGAAGAATATGCAAGGGGAATTGCGATGCATGAGGACGCTTTTAGCCGTAGCATCACTGTGATAGACTATCGATTAATAGGTTATCTCACCTAGAGCTAGTAGTAGTAGTGGCGTGAGATGGGCCTACACCGGTACTATACTATAGTCTAATAGTAGGTACGGTCGTAAAAATTTCTAGATATGGTAGAAGCCCAAATAATAGCACCACTTGATTAGATCTCAGCCAGTAATTAGCAGTGAACTTGAATGTCATGAATGGTTTATGGGTTAGGAAGCTATCGCGATTTTAGTAAAGCGTCGCTGTGGGTTAATTTCCCTCAGGCCAATTTCGAGTGTGTGTTCTCAAGCGCCGCGGTATATGATTTTGTTTGTCTAGTTCATGCAAGTAAATATAAGTTTCACTACACACATATAACTTCGAGTGTAGATTGAATAAGGATGATGGACTGTTATATAAAATGAACTATTAAGCTGCAATCTGGAGACGCCTTTCGCATTTTTATAAGGTTGTCTGAATGATAGCTCCATAAGCCAGCGATTTGTGTTTGTAATCAAGCGGGACGGACACGACATTTTTTTGAGCAATTCCTACCAATTTGATGAGGTAAAATTAATAGGGTTCTGCTTTACCTACCCCACTGAGATTTATGCACTGGTAGAAATGCATCTTACAGCAGGCTATTCTGAAGAAATTTAATTTAAATGACACCAAGTATATTTATATTGAAGTCAAATTTTGAAGGAAATTGAAAATTTCGAAAGTACAAACTTTCCAGCTGCCCGTTTTCCGTAACAAACGTATTATTCGTCTGGTTCAAATTAAAAAATAGTTTCACTGCTGCTAGATATATGAAATTAGTTATAGTAATGTAGCAGCGGAGCACATAGTATGGTGAATATGTTCAGTAAATGGATGTACGTGTGCAATGGAATTGTATCATATTGCATCAATTTGGGGAAAAATGTAAAATTACAATCGAAAATGAATTAATGAAATAATTTTCCTAACTTATAGGCTGCAGAATACAGATACTATAGTGCATAGTAACCACACGAGTATGAGTATATATGTAGAGCAATTGACATGAAATTGTATGACTTACTTTATTGCCAGAAAGCCAAAAGACAGGGAGTAATACCAAAAGTATTGTCGTAAACAGTTGTACTTGCAGTTCGAGACACACGTTAATGATGAGCATCTATAAAACCAAAGCCAGTATTTGTAGTTCCTTTTCCATTAATTACTGCACAAGCATCTATTAATGGAAATTGATAGATATTAATTATGTATTAACTAATCAGTAACGAGTAAGTACAAACTAGAAATTTCACACCTAGTTTCAGTTTGTTTACATTTTTGAACCGTTCAATTATTCAGTCATGTTTTCGTTCAACAAACTCACTTTGCATTACCAGACTAATATTCAAAACTATATAAGGGTTTCTATCCTTTGTGTAACATTGCTGATAAATCTGCAGTAGGACACGCTAAAAGAATAATTTAAATATATGCGACAGCTAAACCACGTCTAACGTTTTAGGCTGCATCATGGCGAGCCTTGCAATGCCAGTTACCAGCGTAGACTGGTACCGCGGTTCGATAGTTCACACGCCTACGCACTAACGGTCATGTCGGTGAAACAGGGTACCAGTCTATTACGCAACACCTGAAGAAACGAGTGACACGCAGCTGTCCGTTCAGCAATCAGCAAACAGCTTATCGCCTTATGATCACACTTAGCTGTAATGCCCAGCGGCGAATAGTTTACAAAAAAAATGATTTTGGGGCAGTAGTAAGAACTGTTTTTCAATTGGTTAATGATGACGTATCTAATAGATCACACGAATGAGGATTGATAATGGTGGGTGATTTCTTTCTTCAAACGATTGGTCGGGAAAGTTGATTTTGAAGCGTTTGATTTTTTAAATTACAATTTTCACAATGATCTAACTATTTAAGATAGAGAAACACCCTTACAGCATAACAGTAAGTATGGTCTAAATATTATAATCAAAGTAACAAGTAGAGATTAATAGTTCTTACTCTGCCGCCAAGAGGCTCAAAGTTGGGGCCCGTTCGGAAAATTTCGGTTCGCGCGCGCGCTTCAGCAGGTCCAGCTTGCCTAGCCCCGTTTAGCGTTTTGTTTGGTTTTTAGCACGTTCTATCTCAAAAACGGTTACGGTAAAATTCTGAAATAATACATAAACTGGTTGAGGGCCTTCTCATCTAGACCACAAAGTTTTGTTTTCATAATATGATATATATTAAAAGTTACGTCTTCGTGAATAGTAGCTAGCTATTGACTTAACTGAAATATGATGGTTGCTGAATCTAAGACAATATGGCGCGAGCGATCATGCATCGCTATCTATATACTAGTTAGCGCCTATAACGTAGCTCTTAGTATATAGCGCCGCGGATCGCTGCGGCAGGCTAATAGACATTCTGCCATTAGAATGTAATCTAAGCAAATGGTCCACTGATGTGACCAAAATTTATCCGCCAAAACGTAAATGATCGGGCTTTTTAACACTTATTTATCGAACATGTACATCTCACCTATCTTTTGAACACTTCACACTTTAGCACCATGATATTTATGCTGTTTATTCCTCAAAGTCTTAGCACTACGGTGTTTCTGTTTTCTAAATGCGGTTCTCTGCCTTATGTGTGCACGCGTGACTCTTTCAGTGCTAGCTTTGAGGAATAACAGCATAATACCTGGTGAAAGTTGGTGGAAGTGTTCAAAAAGATAGGTGAGATGTCCATGTTGATAAGATAAGTGTTAAAAGCCCGATCATTTTTATACGTTTTGGCGGATAAATTTTTTGGCCACAATCAGACTTGGACCATTTGCTGATACATACATCTATGGCAGGGAATGTGTATAGCCGCTGCGGACAGCGTATCCGCTGGGCTATCAGTCACTAGAAGCTACCATATAACGAATAAGGCCTACGGACGGTACGCCGGTAGATCTAATGTCGTAATGAGTGTGCACCACCGAGGATGATAGATATTAGAGGTTCAGATTGTGTGATGTGTAGCCCGAGCTCCGAGTACAAGATGGTAACGTGCATTGCCATTGGTCTAGCTATGTCAACTGTAGATACAATATTACCCAAACCCAAGAGGATAGGGTTTGGGTTAAATTATTGTATCTAATCTATGTCAACTGGTGTACGTGTGTGTTTCGAAGCAGGCAGGGTTTAGTTTTTATTCGTGAGTGTTTGACTTTTGCTCGGGATCGAGTTAAAAATACAAGACTCATAGGCCTAGAACTTCAAGAAGTATAACTAATTAAGTCGCTTACTGATTTTTATGGGGTGCAATGCTAATAAAAGCTTTTGCACTTTAAATAACACACTTTAATGCACTTTAATAACACACTTTAATGCACTTTAATAACACACTTTAATGCACTTTAAGCTTTAATAAAAGCGTTTGCAAAAATATTTTCTTTCAGAAAATATCATAGAAGAACTCCACAGTTCGCGCAGTCGCTGCAGTGGTGCGTAACTGAAAACTGATGACAATAAGTCAGATACTAGTTGAATCTGCAATTTTGAAAATTATGCCAAAAATAGAGGGACGTTGTCACCAAAGCGCATGTTCGAATTCATGACGGACAAGTAGGCCTCCCCCCACAATTGTCGAATAACTACAATGTCCACCTGCACATGCTGTGGCCTGTTGAGTATGATTTTTCTATAGTGGTTTAATTTGTTAGCTGGGCAAAAGATTTTAATCTTGCTTATACTATAGTTAGCATGGTGTACAATATCATTGATAAATGCAATGAATTACACCAGTTTACTACTGAATACGCGGTACATATATGCTTAAGCTATATATGCTATCATCAAGGATTTTGCCTTTCTATGCTATTAGATATTTGCTATATATATATAATATATATATATTACATAATATATATATATTATATATATACATATTTATATATTATTATTATTATATATTATAATATAATGTATTAATTATTGTATGCATATTACTGAATCAGGTCCTGCTCTACTGGATTTGTAATTTTTTATTTATTGTTCATATGTGACTTATGTCCGCCGTATATACACCTTCAGCGGGCAAGGCCCTTCGGCAGCAAGCCAACTGATTACCTCATATTAGAGAGTAGGAGAAGAGAGGAAGCAAGAGAGGCTGCCATTGCAGTTACGAAGAATGAGAGTATAGCTCGTATGAAGACAAACTGGGAGACGAGAACTAACAAGCGCATTGAGTGCAACTCAATAAAAAGAAAAGTTTCGGAGCGAATGATTGAATCAGATATCAGTCTAGAAGAGCGAAGGGAACGGTATGTTTGTTTTGAATTTTAAAACTCAAGGATACTCTTAACATATAACATGCATATATAAAATGTAATTGATAAATATAATTAAATAAAAATAATGTATCTTTACATATTTACAATTGAATCGATTATGTTATGTATAAATATTTGTAGGTCAATAGTCACTAGAATTTTTTTTAAAGCAATGGTTCTATCTTATGGCAAAGGTCAGTAGTTTCAAAGTAAGGGTGATAAGTTATGCTGAAATTTTGCAGTCTAAGGTTACAGCTTCAACAAGATGAGGAAAACTACTTGCATGAAATTGAAAGGCAAGTTGAAGACCCTGTTTGTAGACAGGCAAAGATGCGTGAAAGGGCGAAAGAGTTGAGAGAAAGGAGGGAGACTGAAAGGAAGGGTCTAGTTAAAGAGAAGCTTGATCAGCAATACAGGTTAGCCTGACTATGTACATATATGGAATTATTGTACTGTGGTGTCCCTTATAACTTATTTGTGCAACACGAGTTGTGGGTGGCATATTTAAATATCAAAATAAAAAATTGAGCATCGTTTATAAGACTGAGTTTACGTGGGTTTTAAGTGATATATCTAGCTTTGGGACTCTCGACATTGTGTTAACTGCAATGGTAAAAAAAGTTGTATTTTACCTGTGATTCAGAGAGCAATGTGAAGAACTTAGAGCAACTGTCTCAAAAAGGCATCAGCATCTAGTGTCATCAGAGAGGCAGGAGCAGTTGAAAATTAAGGAACAGATGAGAGACGAATGCAAGAAAGAGGAGCAGCTCTACGATGAGCTGTGGCAAAAGGATATACAAGTAACATGTTTACAGTATAGTTTAGCAGCACAATGTCTTATGACTACAACGTTTGACAAGGAGGGCTGCTGGAAATTTTTCCAACTACACTCGTGCATGTATGCATTTAGATAAGCATGCACACTGATTTTTACACATGCACACGTATCAACTAGCAAGCATGCACTGGCGTTGATCAGGACACTGGTAAAAAATCATTTCTAACAGTTCGATGTCATTCATTGAATTACTTTCGAATTGCAATCATTGAAATTTAAAATTGGCAGGCCAAGCAAGAACGGGAGAGACATGACCATGAGTTGCACCGACGGCGTAACTGTGAGGTGTTGGAAGCTCTGGACAAACAGAAAGCTGAACTCGAGGCTAAAAAAGGGGAAGAAAAACAGCTAAAACAGGAGGAGGCAGAGTTACTGGTATAGTTCTTCTATATCTGGCTTGAATGGTTTATTGCCGACAGTAGTCCTAACCTATTGTCTTATTGAGGAAGTCTGGTATGTGCTAAACACACTTCTACTTCTTCTACGCTATATTGGCCACCATCAACATACTGATGATTATGCCAACGGGAGGCGCTAGTTGAGACTAAAATAAAATTTTCCTTCCCTTGATTTTCTAAAGAAAAAAACAAAATTTTACTTAAAAAACTGCCCTGATGTCGTTTATGCAGTAATCAGAGACTTAAAGGAACATAGATTTTCGGCTGTCACCACTTCAGTGGGTAAGGCGTTCCACTCTGTAATAGACCTGGGAAAGAAGGAGCCTTTCCTGTAGTCACATCTGTCACACATTATTGAGTAGCAAATTTCATCAAGAATAAAACTTGTATAGAAGAAAACGCTACTAAATTAAAGTGATTACGTCACCGAAAGTAGTAAAAGTAAAAAACTTATGTCCACTTTCTCATAAAATGTAAGTTATTCTGTTCACTTTTTATGGTTAAATTGCTGCATTATACTTCCTATTTTGCTATTCTGTGCGATGTGAACAAACACTCGTGACTCATACATAGCCCATGAGATCATGATCAATATATCAAATCGCCCAGATTTTTTAGATTTTTAACTAGAACTTTGAAAAACAATTTTATCAGGCAAGAATTTGAGGATCCATTTAGTGCCGTTACTACTTACTTTTCATGTAAAAAATTGCATTGTTTTACAAATATACGCCATAGAAAATTCGTGACGTAGTCAATTTAACAGCTTTACTTAGCACAGAGCAACGCAGCTACATTAGACAAAGCTGGAAAAACAAGCTATATGAGAGTAGCAGAAATATTATTTGAATCATGTAATTAGTAATTAGTGGATGGTACGCCACAAGTGTTAATTAGTAATTAGTGGATGGTACGCCACAGGTGTTTATATGATACTCAGCATTATAGTGTCATGATAATGTTTTATGTTTCCGTTTAGAAACTTAAAGCCAGACTACGTGCTCTGGAAGAACAACAAACTGCTACAGACAAGGTACGCAAACACCAGTCAACTAGAAAAGAGCTGGATCAGATTCTAGAGTTCAAGCGACACTATCTTGCTGCAGAGAGAGAACGAGAACGAGAACTTGATGCTATGATGAAGCAAATGGCATTGGAAGGTGTAGGAAATGAAGCCGCACAAGCAAGTGAGAAGAAGGCAAGTGCTATGGAGTGATAGTGCCTTCTATCGGTAACAAAAAATGACGTAAACAAAGGGTATATTAGGCATTATATAACTTGGCTTGATGATAGATTTGGCGTTCCAGTCCAACAGTTACTACTGCTGCATTGAACTATTGTTTTCTGTGTATCTATAAATCCATTTATATTTCATGTCTAGTCAGCGTTGTTGCAATCTCATCACTATCACATGATTATAGTATCCACCAAGAATAATCTATTGGCACAGATTTAACTTTGCTGCTGTAGTAATTCTCATAGTAATTAAATCTTAAATTTTGCTATAAATTAATTGTATACTTCGTACTTAATAAATTGTTTACAGGTAATTATGGTGTTAGTCCATTTGTTCTCAAACATTCTCCTTTCAGTGTCAGCGAAGGGATGAAGACATGAAGTATCGTGAATATGTCAGAGCACGGACGGCTGAAGATCAGAAAAGAGAGAAAGAGTTGGGAAAAGTGCTTGATGATGAGGTTGGAGCAAACTCCAACAGGATTTCAAATGGTTATTGGTGAAACGTTGGTTGCTTTATACGAGTCACTCTCCGATTCAACACTGTGTCATTTTCAACAATGTTTTTACAGATAGAGAAGATGTGGGCCAAAAAACAGCAGGGATATGCATTGGAAAAAGATGCAAGGCAGATACTGTTGAGGGAAGTGATGGATTGTCGCAAGAAGCAGGTCGAGGCTAAACGTAATAATTGGTTGCTCTATGATTAACCATGTGTGAAGTTATTCAGTTAGCCAAACCTTCATAATTATGGATTAGTGACACTAGTAGTGATGAAAAGCACCGTTTAAATAAAGATATGGGTAGATAATTATCAAATTACATGTATAATGTAAATAAAGTTGAAAAGGTCTTAATTGGCACTAAGGGGAGTGTAGTTCTTCTAGGTTAGTTTCTAAAGCTTAGGTGACCAGCCCCACTTTGGTCTACCTAGGGCCACTGTTTATATGCCCCCTCAAGATGACACAACCCTAAACAGGAGGCTAGCTGCTATACTCTAAAGAACGTATACGCCCTAGATTATACTAGGAAATGCCAACAACTATCTCAATCGCGCTAATGCAGTATTTGTATGGAAACAATTAAGAAGTTGTGTTCGCTGTACGTTTTAGTCCGCGAAAATCAGCACAGACAAGAGGAGATGTTGAGTGAGCGAGATCGGCAGCATGCAGCCATTGAGAAGAACGCCCAACTCGATCACGAACACCAGCAACGCATTAAGTCCAAAAACCAGCAGTACGAGAAAGATCTCATTGCGCAAATAGCATACGATGCCAAGAGGCAGCAAAAGGTTTCTGAAAGTTACCACAGATTCATTTTCAGAGTGTGCAGAATTCGCCTTGTCCATATACTCCACTTAACTCCAGTGATGTAACTTGTCAAATGACATATATATAGAGAGATATCATAGATATCATATATACATAAAAAATGGCATACTAACCTCACCAGATGCTAACCCCAATGTTTGCGTACAGGAGGTAGAGGAGAAGGACAGGGAGTACCAGTCAGGTAAGAAAGCAGAAGAGGAGTACCAGAAGAAGCTGCACAGCTACCTGCGGGAGGATCCTCTAAGTGGCTTCACCAGACTCCATCCCGTGCGACAACACATGTTGCAGGCTGCGCGAGAAAAGTCTGCCTTCTAATTCCAGATACTAGCCTGCGAAGTAAGCCACCTATTGTAGCTGCCAAGGGTGCGGTGTAATCAATATTGCCAGCATGCAGTCTAGATCTGTCATGTGATTTTGCAGTGTAGATGTGCTAGCCAGATGTAGATGTGCTAGCAGTGTAGATGTGCTAGCTGATAGATAGATAGATAGATAGATAGATAGATAGATAGATAGATAGATAGATAGATAGATAGATAGATAGATAGATAGATAGATAGATATATAGAAAGCTATATAGATAAATAGATAGGTACCCATCTCGAAATGTATGCAAAGGTAATTAACCTAGCGGAGAGACAGCGTTCTGAACACATTTGATGTTACGCAGGTAAGTATCAAAACGGTTGAGAAAATATTAAAACATTTGGTAAAAATATAAGAAATCCTTGCTTTAAAGCCTACTGTGACTCTAGCAATATAGGCCTACTAGTTTCTCGTTTCTCTCCTTGCCGCTAGCTCCACCAGGATGATAATTGAAGGAAACAATATCTTTCCACGTCTATATGTACATAGTACTATATATTCCCCCCCTCTCTCTCACTAGCCACTTGATTACAGAGATGAGCTGTAACTATAAATGCCTAGCTGATCAATACCCGAATGTAACCAGGAAATATGGCGCTACTGTGATTCTTTCAAAACATCGGGGTTATTCCATTCTACCTGTGCTGTTATGTCAATGTCCACGGCATTCACCTTTGCGTACAGTGCCTAATTATTATGCAATACACAATTAAGCGACCAATGGCCGTATACGAAGAGACAAGCACTTTTACGGAAAATACTGATTTCATAATAATTCTAACATAATATATATTGTATGCTCTAACAAGGATGGTTTCTGTGAGCGTAGGCCTACTATTATGGTACACATGGGACCGGGTGTTACGTACTATTCTGTCTCATCTCCCGTTCTGTGCACACCGCGCACACGCACGTACGAACGCACACACACGCGCACACACGAGTTCACAGAGTACGACTCGTATAATTATGTATCAATACTATATAATATTTGAGAATTGTCGTGCGCCTAAATGAATGATTAAGTGTGCGTAGCCAGGGCCGTGGATAACTGGAAGAGGGCAGAGGGGACAGTAGAAGCACATGCAATGGCTGCGGCAACGGCGTTAACGTGGATATTTACTAGAGAATGAGCGCACATCTAATGGTATTTGCAGGAAGTGACCTCGGAGGTTTCTGCCTGAGTAACAGTGAATGCATGCTGGGTGCACTGGTTACCGATGTCACTGTTTGTAATAGTAACGATGAGACTGTTGGTAGAGGATACCCTAGAATCTGCAACCTTTACACGCACTCCTGTGTTTGCAACTCGTATGTCACCGACCAAGAGTGCAAAGATGCAGCGTCACTCACCGTGACATGCGAATTTTGTAAGTAATATATTAAGAGCGTTTTCTTTCGCGAGCACAGGTTTTTTTGTCCAGTGATTAAGATTACTGCCGTGGTATCAAGTCAATTCATAAGAGGCCCTAATATCCTAGAAATTAACTTCCTCAGTTTTAATCATATAAATACTAGGTTATTCATTTATACTATGTCAACATGACAAGATGTTTACATAGTGCGGTAATTTTTTACGTAAATCCAATAACTTTATAACCATTTATCACAAATAGACTTTGATCAAGTGTAGATCAGGTAGAACATATTTTTATATAAATCTCATCTAATACAAGGTTATCTATGTTTTGCAGGTGATAGGTAACTGTGTCATTGCGGAACCAGCATATATATAACCACCATACTACCACGAGAAACAAAACTGGCTAGAAATATGAATTGAAGCGATATTTTACTTGTATCTGTTAGATTTGTAGTTTTCTATAATAATTGTTGGTTTAAAAATGTCCTTTTACAGTATTATCATGTACGTTGCATATTATAATTACGTAAGTTGTTATGAATATTGTGAATAAAAACAACTTCGTATGTTTGTCGTAACATTCCCCAGAATTTAAATCTCGTCTAATTTATCTGAACGATGCTATCGTTTGTAGAGGCTACTTAATTGAAATAAATATTAGGATCGGTATTAAAAATATTTATTTGTATTCCAAAGCCCGACTTACATATCTCAATAATTTACAGCTGCATTTTTTTCAAATTTACGAAATATAATAAATACTAAATATGGAATACCGTTGTTAGTTTGATGTTTTTTGAAACCGTCAATAATTTACATCATATTATTGCGCGTCTTCAAACGTAGAAATAAATAAATAAATAAATAAATATATATAAATGAATGGATCTATGATGTAGATGTTTACTTTTATATATATATACAACTCAACAACACGTTAAGAATCACATCTAGTATGTATAGCCTATAAATGTGGATGATAGTGTCATACAGCGAGATAGGTACGCGAAGAAGGCCTGATACTAACGGTTAACGTAGTTACGATTCGTATTTGAGCACGTACGCAGCATACTGAATAATTACATTATTATTAGAATAAAAGTAGTGTCGTATACAAGTGCCTATTTCGACACGATTATCGGGTTGCATAACGGCTAGGCTATAGAGACAAACGGTTATAATATTACACTACGCCGTAGACTAATAGTGACTACGGCCTTATGTCCCATCGGGGGACCAAGAGGATAAACCTATTGAGATAAAGAGATAACTGCGGTGGTTTATAATGCAACTGCAGCGAGGCAATACTTTTCGACCCTGTGAAGGTAGAATACGCCGTATGTCCTAGTGTAGATGTGCTAGCCAGATTTTGCAGTGTAGATGCTGCCAGCCAGTCTGCCTTGTAATCGTGGCTCCTAGTATGCTGTGTATGACACATCCTAGCCGTCAAATAGATTAGACACGCACACGTGCGTGGAAGATATTGGAAAGAGTGATACAAGAATTTATGCCTTAGGTTTGTAGAAAAGGCCTTGCTTGTTCGGCTTGTAGGTAGATTTCAGTGTGTGCCTTGCCATCTTAATCCCTTTTAATTTATCAGCAGCAATATATTTTTATGTAAGAAATCAAATAAAATATAAGCTATGTTTACCCATATATTCAGAAATTTCCTTCTTCTAGTTTTAACACCGCTTACTGTTTCTTTATTATCTAATTGGACATTTTTGTTAAATCACTCCTGATCTAATAGAACAATTGGCAAACTTTAAAGGATGACAGTATTTTCATACAGATTTTATTATGTTTACAACACAACGATAAAGAATACATTCACCACAATTTCAAGACATTTCTATCTAGTCATTCTATCTATCGTGATAACTTCAAGTTATACTCAAATCATTTACATACAACGTTTCTGTACTATAAATGAAACTGTATATAAAATATTCATCAGGCAGCCATGATATGTCTGAAATGTATATGCTACATCTTAGTAGCATATGCTTAGTAGCATATCTTAGTATGCATATGCATATCTTAGTATGCATATCTTAGTAGCATATGCTACATCTTAGAGCATATGCTACATCTTAGTAGCATATCTCGGCATCTACAGACAAGTAGGAATAATGCACTTTCGATCTAGTTGTCACATGACACCATAGTGAGCAACACATGCCAACTTCACACAAGCACATTATGATAGGCAGGAACACGGAAATTCGTCGACGAAAGTATTGATATGTACACTCACGTTGACAATAAAGACGACACGTTTTTAATGCATAGACCTGCAGAAGAATTTCAACAGACGGCATGTCCCTATGCAATGAGTTTATTATATAGGAGATGGTGGCGACTTATTTTAAAAAAATGTGGCAGAAATGGACAATTTTGCCACGTTTGTAATACAGTGAAATAGTTCACATTGTTTAAAAGCGAATCATTAAACACCTTGCCTACAGAAAATGAAAATATGTGGGTAATACTTAATCACACATCTATAAATGGCACTGGGTTACCTTTACAACTTAATTGTTAGTTAGGAAATATAGCCAACAAAATTGGTTCTTGCCTACTTAGTGGAATTCACCCCCCCCCCACACGCACACTAGTCAGTGTGAATTTAAAAGAAAATAATTGATGTAAATATGCTGAAGCAAGATGTCAGCATATTTACCAAAGACCAGCTTTATGGAACGTTCTGTGTAATAAAAGTGAACATGTCACTACTTTGCCATCTGGCTTTCCAAATCTAATACATTTACTAGCAATACATGTAAAAAGTTTAAAAAAAGGTTTCATCTTAAAGTAGCGCATGCTCACAAATGTGCACGCGTACATGCTCACACTCATGCACACATCCGTTCTCATTGCTGAGAACACAACAACAAGTTGAGTATTTTCATGGAAATGCCTACTGACTGATGAATTATGTATACATTTATAGATTTATAGTTAATATTTCTATATATCCAATGTTTCTAACATTGGGGTAACATTGATTGGATTATGTGGCCTCGTATCTGGTTAGTGAGATGCATTCTGCGTGGACTGTTAGCCCTATCTAACAAGCACGGTAATTTGTTTATAAATGTCTGCCTGATATGGATACTCGAATCAAAACAAAACCAATTCTAAACGTTTTGGATAAATTAAAAGAAACAATCATTAAGACTGTTCCTGGTTATAGAGCACAAATAATATTGCATGTATAACACAATATACACTGAGAGAGCAATTATGTGTTGCTCTACCCTACATATTGGACTCATAGTAAAGCCGCCATTGCCATTGAATTTGACGAGAACATTAAAATACAATGCAAACTTTTAACCACAATTAGCACAGCCTATACAAAACTACATGTGGTGCCTTTACCATTGCCCTGGAGCAACCCAACTGTATTTTAAACACAATTAGCAGTTAAGCTATTCAAAACGAAAATGATCTATGTTCAGTTTTGAGTTGCACAGTTCATGCTTGTTTGCAAAAACGAATCCATACTATGGACCAATGTGGAGTTAAAAACAGTACAACTAACAGCATTTATAATTTATCCTTACAATGCACATGCAATCATCTGAAGATGTGCCTGCTGGTGGTAATGGCAGAACCGATTTCACTTCATAAAAACTATTTTACACTATCAACTGTTCACAATTAGATAGAATCGGACATTCATGAATGCCATGCATACATCCAATAAAAAATGTACGTATGAATTAAATTATAAAAACAATGCCAACATAAGCATATGGTGCATTCCTATTAGTCAAATAAAAATGCAATGGAAGCCACTGCATCATTTTTACTGCAGGAATAATATAACATTTTTATTAACAGCGGTATAAGCTAAGAGATAAGTAAATGTATCGTGACGAAGAGCTAACAGAATGTGTTCGTGTTCACACGCCAAATAACACATCATCATGACATCAGATAAACCATATTTTGCAACTGACACGAACTTTGTTGTTTATTTTGTACACATTAATGACGTGGACCTTAGCAGTGGTTGTACTTTTGCCACAGGATTTCCTCGGAGTAAGAAAATGTAGGACTTCTTGCATACATACCAAGTGCAGAGACCATTCTGGACAATCTATTTCACAGTGTAATATTAGCCTCCCGACTAGTTCTTAGACCATCCATCATAGCTGTGGTGTGCTACTATCAACTTTGTCACTATCACAGTAAAGTAGTAGATGTTAGAAATTTGATGGAAATACTCACTTTAGCTGTCCTCTAGAGATGATGCTGCTTGCTGATGCTTCACTACTCACCAGACACGCAAAACTCTTGGAATGGTTAGTTTGGCAGTATGCATGATAGATACGTGGTAATAAGCTGTCATACTAAATATCATAATACCATCCAGATCAAACAAGTACTCCAGTAACTAACAAGTGCTTGCAAAGTACAGCTGCCGGCACAGACATCTTGCATGTATTGGACCAAGGAGAATCTCTCCCACTACCGTCATGCCAAGTAGTGTCAATGTACTGCGTCTTAGAGTTTAGTAGTTGGAGTCTTTTCGACAGCAGCGATATTCACGCGCACATTAGCGCGCGACAAAGAGCCATGATTTATTGATACTATGTCATGTTCCACATTACGGGAAATGGCGTCTAGGTGACACGCGCCCAAAAACTAATCCCCGTATCCAAGGTTTGGTTACGACAAAAAGACGTTGCACGAACAACGCACCTGCCCCTACTACTGATCTGGGAACGTGTTGAACATCGCGAGGTCCTCGAACGTCGATGTTCCCGACTGATCGAGCATGCGGAACATATCCGTGAACTGCTGCTCGCCAGGTTGCGCCGCCGAGCCGGACTGCACCGCCGGCTGTCGCGTGTTGCCCTGTGGCGGCACCTGTGTGTCTGCGCTCTGCACCCCTGCAGCTGTGAGACAAAACATGACAAGAAATGATTGAATAATTTCATCGGATCTCTATAGTTCACATAAAAATAAAGTTTATCTCAGTTAGATCCATAATAAGTTATAATTACTTACAATGACGAAATTTTCGTCCATCTCTCCGATAGACTTTGTGCGGCACACGAAGTGTTATCGGAGAGATGGACGAAAGTTTCGTCGTGATAAACTTTATTTTTATGAAAACATGCCAAGGTTTCACTCGACGGCTGCACCAAAACAGACCTGTATTCCCAAATTCCCAACTGTACTGAGCTGTCCAAACAAAATAAGCATTACAAGGAGCAAGAGAAAAAGACATAGCGGGAAGGACAGACAGAGAGAGACAGTGGGAGAGAGAGGGAAGAAACAGTGGGAGAGAGAGGGAAGAGACAGTGGGAGAAAGGGAAAGAAGAGCTGGGGGGCTGAGACGTGGAGAAGGGGAAGAGACAGTGGGAGAGAGAGGGGAGAGACAGTGGGAGAAAGGGGAGAGAGAGTGGGAGACAGTGGGAGAGAGAGGGAAGAGACAGTGGGAGAGAGAGGGGAGAGACAGTGGGAGAGAGGGGAGAGACAGTGGGAGAGAGAGGAGAGGGAGAGGGAGGGGGAGAAAGAGAGAAGATACATACCAGAGTTGGCCTGCTGCCACTGCTGCTGCCACAGCTGTTGGCTGCTGTAAGCACCACTAGCGGCTGCCTCAGCAGCGCTCACACGCTGCGGTATCTGTGAGTAGGGGGAGCCAGCCGCCGATGTGGAGCTGTAGGGAACTGACCCATAGCTGCTGGAGCTCTCACCGCCCGTCTGCAGAAGTTGAGAAGGTTGGTGAGTATGATTTAACCTGCTATAGAGAGGTCTGCAATCACTCTAGAAATTATGCTAGCCCACTCTTAAATGAATTAATTAATAAATAACAGCCCAATCAAGAAGAATAAAGCGAAACATAGTTTTGCTTAAAGCGAATATTTTACCGATTACTCCAGTATAAAATTTACACTGAGATCATGCTGTTATGGTATATAAAATAGCAAATAATGCAGCCACATTCTTTCCTATAGCAACAATTCGCTTGAAATCGGAAATCCCAAGTGTATCTCACTGAGTGACGTGTTGGTCAAGACTGGTAAAACATCTGTTTTGCTTAATTCAAGTTACCATGTCAAAATACAGGGAGGGGTTCTCGCGACAAAACGAGTGGCATCGTCAAGTAACCACGTCAACACGTCGTAAACAAACAGATTTCAATCCTTGTATATTTTTGTGAAAATAATGGTGTACGAATGTTCTAAAACATGTGAGTCTTATTTTAGACACTTACTGTAATGCAAGCAACACTCGTAAGTACTGTAAGTACTGTAGTGGTCGGAAAAATACGAGTACGGTCAGGAAGACTGTTTGAAATCCTTGCTTTAGCAACTTTACAGGTCTGGCACTATGTTATACTTCAATCACAGATACTTGACGACAGCAGTCATCATAACAGCAGCCCTCGTGACATGTCGACTACAATTCTTGAACAGCAATTTGACCGTCTGGCCCATCATTCCAAGTCAAACCTGCATGCGTTCAGCGACTACGATAACAACGAGGAGCCGCTGTGGGACCCGTGTCACGACGGCGAGCGTGGCAGTAACTGCGACGCGCCTGGTTGAACTGTCTAATTAATTAATTATTACCTGGTTGAACTGTTGATGGCTGGGCGAGCTCCACGCGGTGGGGCTGGACGTGGTCGACGCATTCTTGGCGGCGGCGGCTAGGTTCTGCACCTGTGGCAGGCTGCTGCCCGTGCCCGCGTAGGCGATGGTCGAGTGGCCGCTGCTGTAGCCCTCGTAGGCGTCGCTTGGCCGCGCTGCGCTCTGCTGGCCTGCAACAGCAGCAGTGGAAGCGTCACCGGCCTGTCCGCTAACGTCCGCGCCCCCCCCCCTTCACAACGATCTCTGCTACTAGCAGCAACAGCACAAAGACACTACCTACCAAGGCAGCAGTGGGAGCATCACCGGCCTGTCCGCTAACGTTCGCCCCCCACCTTCACAACGATCTCTGCTACTAGCAGCAACAGCACAAAGACACTACCTACCATGACGCAACGAACGACGGCCCGCTTGCAAAATCCCATTCTCTTATCTATGTGTCAGCCTACTCTCTCGCATAGCAGTCAGACTAAAGATCAGCCTGTTCCCTGGCATTTGACCCACTAAGACTGGTACTAGTCGCAATGCAACTAACAACTGGCCGCTTGTCAAATCCTATCCACGTACCTGTCAGTTTTGCACGTTTTACCTTTGAGGCTACATTCTCTAAGAAACCATTGAAATGCCTCTTGTCGAGGCTACTTGCCCCTTACATCGAAATTATACATATTTCATGAATTCATTTAATCTTTGCAGCAATAAATCTGTATCTCGAGGTACAACTAAATGCTCAGTATTTCCCAGTGAAATGTTCGGTGTTGTCAACAGTATCACAGTCATACCTCTGCTCATTAGGCCGTAGACGTCTCCAGTAGGTAGGGAATAAGTGCTGCTGAGGTTGGCAGTGTTGTACCCACTATGGCGTGGTGGAGTGGTGCCTGACTGCTCCTGCTGCTGCTGCTGTTGCTGAATCGCTCTGGCAACATGACACAATCAGATCCTGTCATTACTGGGTTATATACACCAAGTCACTATATTGTGTGCATTGTTCATTACACCATGCATCAGTGGTCACTCAGAAGAATAGGTTGGGATGACATTCGATGACATAGGATGGTCACATTACCACAGAATATTACACATTTTAACTGCACACCATATAGTACCTAATTCAAATATCCACACATTTTCACTACTAGATTCAATTTACTGCTACTGTATTAGTTTACATAACATCTTAGTTGTGGTTGCCTTTCCACAGCAACATTACACATTCTACCTACATATCTACTCCGCTCCCAACCACTCAACTAGTTTTAGTTTGCAACCATTAGTATACCAAGATGCAAATGACAGTCGCATTCCCACATAAAAGCGCATATGTAATCCCCCAAGCCTACACCACTCCCCACCGCAGTGAAAACAGTGGGAGCCACGACTGAAACACTCCATGCCATTGCTAGCGAGAACGCCATAGAGCACTGCCGCCTCGCATGGTCCCCTGCAGGTGGCAGCAGCAGCAGCAGCGGCCGCTCACTCACTTTGCTAGCGTGTTCGTTGCAACGATGTACTCGAGTTCCTCCGTGTAGGGGTTTAGAAACGAGAAGCAGCTTGTACGCATCGTCACAAACTCTCCGTTCTTCACGCGGAAGCGGTACATCACCGACACCAGCTGCCCCTTCAGCTTCACCACTGCAACACAAATCGACAGCAAAGAACTAGAGTAGGAGCTGACCGTGATGACTGTAGTTGGGATAATCGAGAGTTAACCTTGTGAGTTCATTGCAAAGTTTATAGCACAATCAGGTGATAAGCTTGTCGGATCGACAAGGATTAGAGCATCCGAGAGAAAGTCCAGGCTTCCACTACACATGCATACTTAACATTGTAGTAATGTACATGCATTTTTAGAGGAGCTACGTAAGCCTATGCCCTGACAAGGGCCTTTCGTTGTCAGCGAGTGGATGCGTGCTGCTTGCTAATATGTAGCATAAAGTTGTGTCTGTGAAGGTACCTTGCTCAAAGTTCTGCTTCATGTGAGTCTGGTCCTCAGGGTGGAAAAATTCGTAGCAGGTTTTGCCGAGCAGCTCGTATGGCTCGTAGCCAACCACGCCGGTCACTCTGCAGAGAAAATTCAATGTTAGCCTTCTTCCCCCACGGCATTCCTTGCTGCTACACCCAACGCGACATGCACCACAGAAATCATTATCATCCCATACGCTCTAGACTCATCACAACTCATGGCCAAGACCAGTGTTTATACAAATCCATATACATTGCATACAAGGGGCAATGAAGACAAAAGGCTAGCAAATTTCTAGATGCACAGGTTACATAGGCAATGACCGTGCACTAATAGCATTAGCTACAACTGCAGGATGTTTAAATATTAATGAAATTGATGACACTTGCAATCTGAGAATACGGAAACTAGATTTGGCTCAGCCCAAAATGATATGTACAACCAACTAGACAGGTTGGGCTCCATCTATACTACATGTGAAAGCAACAACTAGCCTTTGGTCCACAAAAGTGAATTTTCCATCTGTGTTGTGTCTGGATATGAATTCTACAGGGGGGTTTGGTCCATTTAGATCACCACAACTCGGCGACGATGTGACTTGTAATCGACCAATCGCGACGAGGCAGCTGTGAGAGGCTGAGCGTTCACCGTCACTGTCCATCATGTCAACATGGATGCCTGCAATGTGTATCACAAATATTCCTTCAAGATCGGCAATTGTTTCGTATTCAAATATAACATTTTGGCATTGCTTGTTTAGGGACATAACCAGATTGTATGTCACTACTTAGACAAACAGATTAATGAGGACAACTCTAGTCACTGGAGCAAAAGATGGAGAAAAAGAAAGCTAAATGCAAGGCAGAGAGAGGGAACTAGAAAGAAAGAAAGTGAAGGAGGGTATGGCGGTAGGAAGGAGGAGAGTGTGCATGAGAGAGAGGGAGGGATCAAAGAGAAGGGGAGGGAGGGAGAGGGAGAGAGGGAGGGAGGAAATACAGAGAGAGAGATAGAAAGAGACAGCAAGT